TCAGTTTATAAAAAAACGTTTCTAAGACTACAATTTGTTAAGAAAAATGGGATATCTTGTGAATTATTGAAATACTACCTTATGAAAATTATTGCTCATAATAAATATACCTAATATTCATCAAAGTTTTGAGATGTTATTACCATTTCACTCAGTCATACTCACAGTTACATGTAGGAGGTTGGAATGATGGTTCGCAGAAAAATTTTGGAGATACCGCTGACAGTTTATATCCATCATTACAAGAGAATATCAGGACTGCCGTCGATGGAACGATTTCCCCAGGTTTTCTAACTGCACCATTTTCCATAACCCATTTACCATTTTTGGGATGAGCTGGAAGACTACATTCCTCAATATAGTTCGTTGTGGATTCTCGGTCTATCCATTCGTAATAATTTGCCACTTTGGTGAATAAAGCATTCTGTTCGTGGTTGCACTGCCCATCAGCAGCTTTTGGGGAGAGACTTACGACACCATGAAGGTAAAATCTGTTGTCTTCAGGATTTTTGAAAATGAGACCGCTTCCACTATCACCTTTGCAGACACTCATATTTTGTCTGAAAAAGCCGGTGCATATTTTGTCTTCTAAATTGTACCTTCTTTCCCAATCTACAGGTAACTCGGCAGAGCAAGTTGATGACTTCTTCAGGGGAATTTTGAGTGATTTGAGAGTGTCTGACGGCTCGCCATTTTCAGTCACGCCCCACCCAGCAACCTGAAATTATTTTTATTATATGATTGTTGTCCTTGTTAGGCTTTGAGTTCTGTTTGAGTAAGTAGGTAATAAATATGGAACAAATACAAACCAAACTGATATCAAAATGTGATAAAACTATGAAAAGCCGAAGCTGTGACGTTACGTAAGCATGGAAGAATAATCAATCAATACTCAATATTTTTTACAACATTTTGAAAGGATGGTTAGAGTTATGAAAGTAATTCGGCTATGTCCAGAAAAAAACACAGGTGAAGAAGATTTCGTTAATGAGTGAATTTTATAGGTATCAGATTCGTTATGGTTTTTGCTGACAAAATCCATCCTCAAGGAATTTTCGATTGGTATGCTTGATTTAATCACACATCAAACTGACAAAAATAAGGGGTGAGATGAGAATGGATTACATGTTTGAGGTATTAGAACAATTGTTTGAAATCAGCCGTAAAAACTCTCCTGAAAATATACCTCTTCAAATATTTGTCTATATTTCAAGTAGGTCATTTGTTAGCATATACTTGTGCTTTCGAATAGTAGGTAGTCGGATAGTCAAGGTGTAAGATTCTCACCTTGATACCCACGACAACCTTCCCATATGAGGATTTCTGCACGTCAGCTATACCTGTCGATGCCTTAGATTCACCCGTGCAGGGCTTTTTCGGCTCTGGTTTTGGTGAATCATAACATAAGCGCAAACGTTTTCTAACCTGCTCATGGAGGGGTTTGTTCCCCCACCTGAGACATATTCTGCGTACGTTGCTCAAGAATTTGGTGCAAGGCGGTTTTATAAGGTACCCCGCTCTTGAGGAGATGACTCAGTCGTTTCCTGGCTGCATCACCAAACCTTTTTTTCAAGGTTCAGTTGTTGGATCAGGAGTTGGGAAGTTGGAGTCGTAAACTCGACATCCAACTCCTCTGTAGACTTGCTCCTGAACTAAATTTACAGGGAGGTGCGTTGGAGTCGTAAACTCGACATCCATCTCCTCTGTAGACTCGCTCCTGAACTAAATTTACAGGGAGGTCAGTTGGAGTCGTAAACTCGACATCCATCTCCTCTGTAGACTTGCTTCTGAACTAAATTTACAGGAAGGTTAGTTGGAGTCGTAAACTCGACATCCATGTCCTCTGAAGAAGACTCGCCTCTGAACTAAATTTACAGGGAGGTCCATTGGAATCGTAAACTCGACATCCATCTCATCTGTAGACTCGCTCCTGAATTAAATTTACAGGGAGGCCAGTTGGAGTCGTAAACTCGATAATTCTTGGGGTACTCCGATTGACAACCTCAAAGCATTCAAAACCGCACCATCCACTATGATCTTTCGAAATCTATTAGTGAAGAAGAATTTGAAAACGATGTTACTTCATTAGGTGAGTTAATGCACCGTATCATATGAGTATCCATGATAATAATTGTAAACGTCATGAGAAATTAATCTTTCTATGTTTTTACCACTTTTATTTGTAACTAACATTACTGTAGTTTCGTCCTATACGGACATTTTCAAACTTATACATTAAACTAACAATGATTGATTACATTAGCCCTTGTATAACACCACTATAGGTAATAACAGAGGTCCTCAACTTAATTGAGCACATGAATTTTGTTTACCTGTGACAATGTGGGTACGCTAATTTGAAAACAGGTGAGTAAAGTAGATCAATTCAACAGGTTGAACCCGCAGTGTTTATGCTCATGAACTTTCAAGGATCCCAAATAATTGAGTTTGCAACCCTTTCGTTTCATTTAGATTCGGGAACTTGTGGTTGCATCCCAAGAAATTGTTTGAAAACGTCGCTTCATTTTACTAAGTCTGAAGAAACTTTCATGTTCAGCATACCGTTTTGAGAAAATTTGATCATATTCTCCCACATAAACACTATTACACTCCTGACACATAAGCTTATAAACTCCAGATTTCTCCAACTTGTCCACTTATCTTTGGCATTGAACAGGAAATCGGACAACCTGGCATGTGGTCTGAATGCCACTTCCACATTGTTTTTTCTAAAGAAACCTGCAAGTATATCCGTTCTTTTACCAAAATATGTTAGAGTTACCCATTTCTTGATATCTGATCGTTTGATCTGGGGGTGTATTAATCTATGAGTGAATTTAGGCTTTGTCGCCTAATGTATATGAAAATTTACTTGTAAGAGGAAACTGCAAATGCAAATAAAATTGGTAAAAAAAATCCATCAATTTATTTTGAATTTTTCAAACATTTCAGCTTTTTACCTCTTTTTTTACATTATTTGACAGTTACACTAATATACTGATTGGGCGGAGATCTTGGGTAATAGGATAACATATGGCATTGGTTTGCAAAATTTCTTTCCGGATATGAGCCTTGAGGTAGTCAAGGCTCATGCCTTGTGCTCATGCCTTATGCTCCCTCATGGGAGCATAAGCTCCCATGAGGTTTTAGGTGGTATTGGAGAAGTCAAAAAGTTTGAAAAGTGGCTGCCAAATGATTTGAACGATCAACAAAATTGTCATATTTCGAGGTCTGATCCTTTTTTGGATCGATCGTCACGGGTGATGAAAAGTGGATACTCTACGACATCAGGAGACGTTAAGGACGGTTGTTGGATACCGATCAGCACCCAGGCAGTTTCCAATGGCGAAAACACACAAAAAAAACATGGTTACTGTATGGTGGTCAGCGGCTGTTGTGATCCAGTATACCTTTCTGTAACCAGGCCAAAACATCACAGCAGAGTCCTATTGTGACGAAATCGATGAAATGTACCAAAAATTGCATTGGGTGCAGCTGGCACTGGTCAACAGAAGAGGTTCGATTCTGCTTCACGAGAACCTCCGTTCCCACGTTTCAAATATCACAGTCCGAATATTAAACGAATTGAGCGTCATCCACCATATTCCCCAGACTTCTCGCCAATCGACTACCATATTTTCAAGCACTTCGATAACTTTCTCAATGGTAGAACCTCCGTTCTATCATACCATAGCAGTAGACTCATGAAAACAGACAAAACTTTCGAAACAATCTAATATACTAACTACTTACCTCTCCTATGTCTCCGATATGTGGATAAATGTAATTAATATCATTTATACAAACGGGTTGCACTTTTGGGCCCAAAATGAATAGTTTTTTCGTTACTATCACAGCAATATCATACTGGAATCGACGATGCTCTCCTCTAAATTGTTTATGTATCAATATATGAGCTATCTGAAAAAAAAATTTTTAGCTCTGTAGTATTTTCGTTATATAAAAAAAATTTGCTGCAGATTCTCGTAATGAACCAGGAAGAAAATTCAAAAGTAATCTCAGTCAGCAATAGCCAAAATAAAATAACATTTTTATAGTTATGTGGACTATTTGTCGAATACTATTATAATTCCAAAATAGTAAGCACTGAATTCTCATTTTGTCTTCAATCGAGGACCGCCTGCCCGGTACTGACGATGCCCAATAGGCTGAAACAGCTGTATACCGGTGGCTCTTAAATTGAAATCAATATGGTAATGATCAGAATGGTGCTTATTAATTAATTACATATATGTATATTCCTAACGTGTTAGGAATCACACGTTAAAAGGTTCAACAAAACGACTCTATTTTAAATAATTAGTGAACTCATCAATATTGTATGGACTTATATCTAACATATATATATTATATAGTCTGAGGCCCATTATTTGGTATATTGTACAAAAATTGAACTCCCAACAATCAAAACAAAAATGAAATATGGGGATATAGTAAGATAAATGTATCTAGAAATAAGTGAGGTGCTACAATTGAAGATATCATAAAGAAGATTAATAAATTATCAATACCTTCATATATTGGGCTTCCTTATCTCTACAATCTCCATGTTTATTATAGTATTTTCCAGCAGCAACCTCATAGTTTTCAACTGGTGAAGTCTGTCCGTAATCATTTGAAACACAATGGGCGGCTGAAACAATATGTGTAATTATCTAAGAAATTCGGCTTTTCCTTTACTTGATGGTGACTGATGGAAATAACTTTCGACTTATTGAGAGTAAAATTATAGTGCGAACCAACATAGTAGAGTAGAGTAGAGTACTTTATTTCACCAGACAGACACCAGACATTTTACAGACAGTTGTACATTTAGTGCAAGTTACAAATACATAAATCCTTGATCAGAGATAAAATCCATCTACTATGAAATAATATAAGTGAAGAATATAAGTATAAATAAAATTAGTGATCATAGTTTTTCAGTTAGTATAACTAGCAACACCAGAAATTAAAAAACAAGTAGCTTGTTGCACTGAAAAAAATTGGGATGATAATATTTCTCGAATATAAATCATCCTGTATATGAAATCATTGTTATGAAAAACAGTAAACACATCAAAAATCGACCTGTTTCAGGAATTGTTAATAATATCGTTAATTCATCTAATAGTGAACTTATCTGTTATTTTATGAACGCACTTTACATACAGGGGGGCGCCCCATTCGACACGATCCCTATAAACCAAACCATTGATTTTTTGGAAAATTGTTATATCTCATTATATGTATATTGATTAAGGCTACAAAAGAAAATTATTTTTCAGTCTACAGTGTGGCTCAAAAAAGTGAAACATTTCACAGTTATGTTTTTTATATGGGACTCTCTGTATTTCTATACACTGTTGAATAGGTCAGGAAACGACATTTATTCAACTTGTTGAAAAAATTCCTATTGATATTGTGTTTTACGTTATTCAAAACATTCACTAAATTATTACCATTGAAACTGAAACCTTATCCCATTCATGAGCGGATAGATATAATTTTAGCTTTTGTTGAGTGTTTAGAGTATTGCTTTTTGGCATCAAAGGTGTATGCCCAAAAATATTCAGACAGGAATCATCCAAACAAGTTGGGTTTCAAACGATTGCTACATTAATTTTCTAGGACTGGAAGTGTAGCTTATGAAAAGGCAACCACCCTGTTGTAAACCAACCTTCCAGAACCTACTTTTCTGATCGTCTTTTTGAAGGTAACTTGCCTAGTTGCCATTATGATTAATATTTCCAGGTTGGGGACTAAAAAATCTTGAGGGAAAAAATGTTACTAGTTAATTTGTTTTAATACAGTAATCTATCTTAATGTCCAATGTAACAATTCAATAGAATAATCGAGTCGCTTGAAAAACCTCCGAAATAAAAAATTTCGAGTGCTTACCAGTAATAACAACTCTGCGACTAATGAGTGTTCCACCACATACATTAGTATAGTTGATTCCATTTTTTTGGTAAATTGCAACAACCCAGGGATACTCAGATTCTTTGGCATCTGATGCGCCCCATGAAAGTGTTAGGGTATCATTGGCTGGTTTCTTTCCACAAACTGAAATAATCAAATACTATCAAAGAACTGTCAATTATGTTACCGTTTCTGGTGTGAGTAGAAAATTATCCAAAACATTCCAAAATTTCAGACTCAATAACTGAACTGATGATTCCTTTAAAAATATACCTACATAGACATTGGTCCGAAAATGCATTTGTCAAAAAATTCGGAGTAATGAACTTTTGTAAAAAAATCCTATTTCATATTATTATTGTAGATATCTTGTATCTGATTTTGGTGAAATTTGGCTATTATTTTCAGTGATAGAAGGTTCATTAAGCCTCAATTGAATACGACTTCAACATGTGGCCAAAAAATGTGCTATAGGTACATGAAAGAACAACAAGAATTTCTCTGCGATGTTTGCCAGCCTTTTATTTAAGTACACTTCTCACTATAGAAAAGTAGAGAGCCAAAAATCTTTTTTTTTCAAGAATACTTTTCATCTTCAAATAATCCTGCTCAATTAATAAAATGGACGTCGAGAAGAATGTTGCAGTTTTCTGTATGGGTGAAAAGCATTTTCGTCGAATTCGTTCCAAGCACCATAAAAAAGGTGTTATGGTGTTCCAAGGCTTCAATTCTTTCAGTTCATCGGATTGAAATAAAGTTTTTTGGATAATTTTTACTAGTCTCCATCATTTGAGAGACTTTCATTTTCGATTTTTGATATATTTGTGAATATTTATTACATGCAGTGATTTATGCATCAGAAATGCAGTTATTTTTTTGTTGCCTTGTTAAACATGCCGACCTACAGATTATTCAAAAAAGAAGTTTTGGTAATGATAAATATTTCATCATATATTGTGACAACTTCAATCCTTGTCTTCCAAATATTTTTTTCAGATATAACAATAGTGACAATACGCGAATCACCACTGCTTTTCATTCATTTCAACTACCTGATAAGTTGGCCGACTTACTTCAGTGCCCTCAGGATAGAGATATTAACCTGCCCAGAAACCTATGCGACAGTATTTCAAGCGGAAATTTACGTGTGCGGAGAGATTGAAAGAATCCAACCTCATACACAAGTCAATAAAAATATTCTCGGATAGTCAAGCGGCGTTGAAAGCTCTTGGCTCCTACCGAGCACGTTTAAATTGGTAGCAAATTGCCAAAAACGACTCTCCTCGATAGGAAGACTTAACAGATTGTCTCTAGTCTAGATTTCTGGGGCCATACTGCAAATGGGTGCTGCAAGCGGCTTCATCGGACCAGAACACCTGGTCCAAGAACAAAGATTGAACACCTGGATAGCAAGAAGATTTATGGACTTCTGGCAGAATCTTGCAAGATTGACTGACTCATAGGCGTTCATTCACCTTTCGAAGCTTGATACCAAACAGTTGTTGGACTACTTTGTGCATGCCCCTCTGGGGACCGAATCAGGTTTTTAGAGTTCGGCAGAGCCGTACTCTTACAATTTGACCTGAAAGACCATTCACCATACAAACTAATCGGTTTTGTTAAGAAGCTGGGTTTATTTGGTCGAGTGTGGATAGGTGTGAGCCACAATAAACCCTTGCGGGTTTCCCGGAGGGTCTAATAGACCCGCTCACTTTGGACCCAACCAAACATAACCTACTTCAATGCTAATTTACTCACCTGGTTGGCACACCGGTTTTGGAAAATCCCAAATTCCGTCATAACAGAGCAGGCTTTGTTTGCGACCTAGTGGTACTTCATAATGCGGGATGCACTCGTAGGTTAAATATGTTCCATCGGTAGCTTTATCACATCCGATGGCATATCCATTCCGATCCTTACATTTCAAATTAGTTGTAGGAGTAGAATAGAACGGACGGCATAATCCTAGAAAAATTACATGAATTCATGTGAAATGGTAGTTCAAATGAGAATCATGCAAGGCGTTATCGCCATCAATCGACATAGCTCTTTTGTGTATCCAAGAGGAATATTATCAAACACTTTCATATGACAATAATGTATCACCAGTTCCAAAGATTCGATCTCCCCAAAATAGATGAAGTTTCTCATATGATTTTTTTCAGGAAACATCTATGTCTGATGTGCCTGAGCCTGTTATTTCCAGCTAGTGGTGTATTCCTCTTACAAATGGATTAGTTTGAAAAGGTCATTGTAGACAAGAAGATCTAAATCTCAAATGCTCAAAACCCCAAATGAAATTCATAGCGAAATAGGTCACAAACTGAATTGCCATCTTTAGACGTGATTGTGAAGAGGACCGACATCTATCTACATGAATCCTACTCATACTGAACAGTACCTGAGTTATGAGTTCATCCACCACCAAATTACCAAGCAAGGAATCGGTGAGACTAATTTTTCACGCAATCCGTCTTTGCGACACTGGGAGAAGCTTCTACAAGAGACGGTACCACATAAAGAGGAACCAGAACACACATAAAGTAGAAGATGACAAGAGCCGCACAAAGAAGAGAAGCCATTGCAATACTGCTTTTCTTGCCTTATATCAGGAAGAATCTCTAACAGATGTGGATATCCGTCGAAAAGCCGATACACTAAATAGTTCTCGAACGAAATAAAAACAGTTGTCATCAAGCGTTGTTCAGAACGAAACTACAAGTGTTCAAGTGAAGAGGAAAATATTGATATGAACTAGAAAACCAACTATTATTCATTGATTCAAAAGAAATTACTACTCAGTGGAATAGAAGCCTCTATATTCAACAATGTCCCTTACACCATTAATCGATTTGATCAGAAGAATTGTACTACGTTGGAAATCCAAGCGGAAATGATAAAAAAAACATGATAAAACGTTGAGAGATGTATCAGCTATCACGTGTGTATCTTTATAGCATAATATTATGAAGTAGTCTAAATCTGAGTATACACATTAAGAAGAAAACGAATTCAAACAATTTTTGATTGGCCGAATGAACTGGTTGAAAATCACGACTCCAAATGTATGTTACTAATTTGTTTTGATAAAAAATCACATTGAACATTATTTTGCCTACTTCTACACTTTGGGATGATATCAGGACTCCAGTTCCTATCACATACTACGTAAGGAGTATCGGGCGTTAACATGTATCCTGGTAAACATTCAAATTTGATCATTGTATTGATTTCAACATCGTCTCCGGGTTTTCCATATCCATTTATTACGCTCCATTGTCCATTTTCTGGATAGCTGGGTAGTTTGCACTGAAACCTGAGACAAAAATGGATTAGACAAATAGGTATAAAAAAACTCTATGGCAATGAATTTCAATAATTATACTATGCACTTCTTCTTAGCCACTTGAAAAAGTATATTGAAATGAAAACATAAAAATGGTATTAATTTCGTTGGTTCCCGAACACCACTCAGTGGTATATAATCAGTTATACAGTGTCATCCCCAAAGTATGCACCATACGGGAAACTTATTTATTAAGGGTTTTTCGACAAAAAGTTATTTCTGATGAAAGTTTGTGCATCCTCTGAAACTAAACATGCACCAACAAAATACAGTACAACACACGTTATATACGAGAAGCCTTCAAATATTTGATTTTGTGACAAGAGTAAAGTACTTTTATTTTGAAAAATTTCGGAAAATGTTTTTTGAAAAAGTTGCTCAACATTGAAAAATACATCTAGATTTGAAGTCATGACCATCTAAGTGAAGTTTTATTTTCTTACCCATTTTTCTAAATGGGGACTACGAAAAAAAATTGCTAAAACGATAAAAGGTCAGCATCCTGTATACGACGGGTCATATTAAAAGCCTGTAATATTACAAATTACAAAACTATGGTGTTAACCACGCTCAATTGTTTTGAAAAGTAAATTTATTTTCAAAGTTTTTGGTGCAAAGATATTTTTATTTATTGTTAACACCGAAAATTACTCAAAATTATGCAGTACTGTAACAAAAACTCAATATTCAATAACATCAAAATACAATAGGTAATTCGGAACAAACTTATTGATTTTCTGGAGATTCAACTTAAAACACTTATTTTGGACAAGAAATAGCTATTTTATTCAGAAATACCTATTTTATTTTGATTTTTTGTGATTTGATATTATTGAATATTAAGTTTTTGTTACCTTTACTGTATAATTTTGAGTAATTTTTGGTGATAACAAAAAATATCGTCTGCAAATAATGTGAATTTCCCTGAAATATTTATACTTGTCAAATCGTTGACGTAGATGAGGAACAATGTAGGCCCTAGTATTGAACCTTCAGGTACACCCTTATGTATTTTTCCAATTTCTGAGCGTTGGTTTGTTTCCACCATCTGGCTATGACCTGACAAATATGAGCTGAACCAGCTCAGTATCACTCCTCTGAAACCGTAATAAGGAAGCTTCCTCAGCAGTATTTCGTGATCCACACATTCGAAAGCCTTCGAGAAATAGCAAAATACTGCAGCAGCAACCTCGCCACTATTGATTCCAGTATAAACTTTTTCCATGAGTGAGAAAATTGTATCATTAGTGCCTTTACCACTTTGAAAGCCAAACTGTTCTTCATTGATGATTTTATGTTTTGACAGAAATACAGTTATCCTCAGCTTGACTAGTTTTTCTATAAGTACTAGTTTTTCTATACAGTACAACACACGTATATTACGTGTGTTGTATTGTATTTTGTTGGTGCATGTTTAGTTTTAGGAGATGCACAAACTTTTATCAAGAATAACTTTTTGTCGAAAAACCCTTAATAATTAAGTTTTCCATATGGTGCATACTCTGGGGATGACACTTTAAATATTTCAGAATTTACTTAAAATAACTTTATACTGAAAACACTTTCCCAACACCAGAACAAAAATACTATCTCTCTGAGAAAGCGCCATCAGGAGATCATTATGACTGATAATGATCAACATGTGGTACAAGTTGCAGATGAAACTGTCTAAAATACTGATAAAGAGAACATATCCGCCCAAAACTCTGCGTCCAGTATGAAACTGGAAGTGTTTCTTATGAATTTTATGTAAGAGCACTTTCAGTTATTTGGTTATTTAGCATACCACATGCATGATATATGTTTCAGTTTCTATTGTGAATTTTTGGTGTGAAATAATACTGTAGAAGTAATAATTTGCTTGATTTAGACTTTCTCATTTCTCGTTTATATATTGAAAAAAATCTGTGAGTCACCCACAATTTTTTTTAGTTTTATCGTTGATTTTTCACTTGTTTTGAAAATTTCCAGTTGTTTTATGGTACTGAAAAAGAAGCAGAAGATCAAAGAAAGGTATCATTGATTTCGGATTCATGATCTATCAATTAAAAAACGAAACTGAAGATTTGAAAGGGAAATTTTTGTCAATACATTCTCAGGATTCAATTATTTTCTTTCCAAGGATTAGTCAGATGCACTGGAAGGGAAATAATTTTTCGCAATAATCCAATGACACTTCAAGTTTGTTTGTGAAGGACACAAGATTTGATACGAACATCCTTGAACAATTTTTGAATTTACCCTTTCCGAAATTAAAAAGCACAATAATTGAACAATGATGAAGTTTGAAAAACATTGAATGAAAGTTGCCGATACTGGATGAAAATCAATTACAAAACTTTCTAATGTTTTTTTATAATTTTCACTACGTTCACATGTCACAAAACCGTGACATGTGTTTCGCTTTACACTAACTCCCTCAAGCAGGTCTGTAAATGGAACTATATGAAAAGCTGTATGGTAAATACGAGATGGAATTGGCGCAAACCCATAACGTAACAGTTCATTGTGAGATTTTCACTAATAATCAGTTCACAAAACCGCAACACGTGTTCCACCATACAAACGGGGAGAGCCTTGTTCCAGTGAATGAAGGAACATAGGGAACGAGGACCAATTCCACAATTTGCAAACCATATTTTGACAAAAGGGCATGAGTCCAACCACAAGTATGACATGCAAGAGAGCATGTATATTAAAAATAACAAATACGAAGGTTTGATTTCGGATATCTCGAGTTCTACATAGGCCGAACTGAAAGAACATTTCTCAAGTACTCACTGGAGAATATAAAAATAGTAAATTCAACGTATGATACTCACCTCCTCACAGGGGGACATGAGTTCAATCATGAAATTAAAACTCTTCATTTCATAAAGAAAGGTTTGAAGGTTAACCTTCTGGAAATGAATGAATTCAAAATTCAACAATATCAAATGGAAGGTCAAATTGATTCGAATAACAAGCCTCGAATTTGTTTGAATTCATTGAATTTGCTTTCATCAGGGAATCAAGTCTTCCTATGAGTAGAATAAGTGTCATGTACTAATCATCGATTCATCAACCCGTTATTACCAATTTAAACATAGTTTTACCTGTTTTTACTAATGAATTGAGTATGTAACAGCTCTGCTCAGATAGTTTTATCCAGCTTAGAATTATTTATCCGATTGGAGGTTCTTAGAGTATAAAATGGTAAGAATTTATTTTAGGACAAAACACATGTCGCCGTTTTGTTAATTTATCATATCGGAAATTACAAAAAACTATATTGGAATGTTTTTAGAAAGCCAAAACCCCATATTCGCTGTACGACAAAAACTAGAAATTTTGCCGAAAAACTCTATCTGGAACATTCCAGTTGATATGATTTTTATTCGAAATGGAATAGGGAATTTTTCCAGTTAGGTTATTCGTTTTATAGGAAATAGGGGATGGCAGTCCCGCTTAGCTTTGCAGTGAATTTTAGGTCGAAACTTGTTTTTCTTTCCAAATTTGGTGGTTTTTTTGGATTCATGTGTAAAGTTATGACCCTTGTCGTACCTTTTCGATGTCCCATTATATATATTCTTCTCAGTTTGTATTTGTAGTTTTACTCAAAACAGACTTACTCATTCAGCTCCCTTTTGAACTTTGTGGAATTGGCATATTGTGCTTGGAATAGAATCTCTGGTACTGAAAGTTGAGAATAACAGACACCTGCAATGGAACAATTATATATCAAACAATGAATGCTCATTATTCAAATGAGTTATCAGTTATTTTTCAAACATGGTTATAACGCTACAAAGTGACTTTATACATCTTTTTTGGAGCAGCGCTGGTTTTGGGGAATTATTCATATTGTTCAAACAATAAGCATTATTGAAAAGGCATATTTTCATCAGTAGAGATTAATTTTTCGGAAAGAAAGTTTTTGGCCTTCTCCATTTTGATACAAAAAATGTGGGAATCTTCCAAAGAAAGTAAGAAAGCCTATCAATTTTAAAAATTGACTCTATACAAAGATGTATAGATTATGCATGCTATTTTTACATGCAATAAATGGCTGTGATATGACATCTGCATTTTACAGGGGGGGGGGGAAAATAACAGTTTTCAAAATGTTTGAAAAACAAAATTTAGTTCAATGTGCTGAAGTTTTTGAAAATAGTAATTCAACTCGACAAGAAATTATCACTAACGGCATTCGCTTTCTTCTTTCTGTGTACGGAGCTCCTAAAATACAACCTGCTTGGATAAGTATAGATATGCATGTTTCGTTAAAAAAAACAAAAGTAAAAAACAAATACAATGGGCTTGTTTCATGATTTTTGGTTTACAGTTCATTTGGTAGTAATTTCAAATTAAAAAATAGTGCACTTTGTTTCAGTTCTCTAAATGGCGTTGTTTTCCCGTAATTAATTATCAAAAAAAGGATTTTCTAGGCCCGTGAGGTCACGGACCTAGTCCATCTTCTTGTTCGATTGACCATTAATCACTCCTAAAAATATAACCCTTTCAAATCGAACAATACAAATAATGAACATTGCCAAATTGTAAAAATCACGGAGCGTATAAACAGTTTCTGATTCATTCGTGATTCAAAGTAAAATCACAGTCACTTCCGACAAGTAAATCTAAGAAGCAAGTGCAAGGAATGCATTGGAAGGGAGAATCAATTATACATGGGATCCAAATAACACAATGAAATCGCCCCGGAGCGCCAATTAATTTTTATTGTTGTTTTTATTATTATCGTTGTAATAATTAATAGTTCACACAAAACGCAATAAAAATATTATTTTTGAAATATCTCCGGCAGTAGACATTTTCATGTTGATATCACAGAAATTTCAATAATGGAAGTGTATATGAACCCGTTAACGTTTGAATTAATGAAAAAATTCTCCATAACGAGCTATATTTTCAAATGGTTCTCGAATGCTAATGTACTATAATAAAATAAATCAATTATGCATTCATGCCACCCACTAATAATAAGAAATTCAACGTTATATATTAGTCACATTGCCACCAAGTCATCTATCTCTCTCTGATGTTTCATAACTTTGTATTTTTGTTAAAATAATTGGCACTTGGCAACACCTCCGTAGGCATGATCAATTTTATTGGCCAACAGACACGCGGCCAATTTGAGCTCTTGCTTCTCGAATTTTTCTTTTTTCTGCAAATATAAAGAGGTATTGGAACCGATAAGGCTCGATAAGTATAATATACCCCTAACAAGATCAGTATTTAAGCAAACCAGTATCATTTTCAATAGCATGAAACAAACCCATTACCTTGTCTTTCTTCAACCTCAGTAGCTGCTCATCAACATCTTTTTCGGGTATATTACCAAGTTCAAGTGTGGCTTGGTTATCAGCTAGACCTTACAGACTGGAGTTGGAAATTGGTCAATAATTCATTAGAACCGGTCCAAACTTTACTTCCACCTGCGCCGAAAAAACTGCTGAGCACAATTTTTTGCAACTGCAAAAAGGGTGCAGTACTAAATGTGGTTGCAAAAAAGCCGGACTGTTTTGTTCTCTGGCATGTACTCATTGTCAAGGCCGGTCGTGCTCTTATATTGCGATATGCGATACATCGCTATCAATGCAGTTTATATGTACTCGAGATGAAGATGAAGAAGAACAAGAAGAACAAGAAAAAGAACAAGACGAACAAGAAGATCAAGAAGAAGAACAAAAAGAAGAACAAGAAGAAGAACAAGAAGAAGAACAAGAAGAAGAACAATAAGAAGAAGAATTTGAGTTACAACTCAGACGATTAAATTTCAAATTTTTTTTTAAACTTAAATTGCTTTTATCTTTTCCATCTTTGCTAATATCTATTATTTTGCAATAGTTTCAAATTAAACAGGATCACAACTGACCCGTGGAATAGACCTACTAGGAAAACCACAGTAAAAAACGCGCTACCTCATAGGTGGCGTGTGCGTATTATGACTATTAAAACTTTTACAACTTTTTGAATCGTTATATCTCAGAAACGGTGGCTCGTAGAAAAAAATTATTGAAACATAATTTTATGAGCTACAATTTTCGTCGACGACGAAGATGAATTTTTATTTTTATATTCAGTCCGACTTGATATAATTCAGCGTTCATATGGAAGTATTTGTTTCGAAATGTTTTTCTTTCCTGTAATTCAATGTTTACATGAAAATATCTGTTTCGAGAGGGCTTTTTTTCATTTTGTGTCTGCAAATTACTTCTTTACATAATATACACATCTCTGTATATAATTAATTTTTGAAATTGATTGCTTCCTTCCTTTCTTTGGAAAATTCTCACATTTTTTATATCAAGATGAAGAAGTGAACGGCCAAATAAGCATAATAATTATAAAAAATGCAGTTTTATATAGCTTTGTTTTAAAAATTCTTCATATATTAATATAATAACAGAACTTCAGATATTCACATAACAACTATGAAACTAACGTTAAAGTTGTAGATATAATAATGATGGAATTATAACCACTGAGAGAAATCGTAGAAATATAAGTTATACTTCAATCGATAATTTATTTGAAGACATGTTTTCAAAAACATTTTCAGAGAGTAATTTCCAGGTTACTTCATTTTAATTGGTTTTATCTTTCTGCCAATCTCATTCTCCAGGAGTTATCGGATCATTATTTTTGTATTGTTGAACTTGTGAGCTACGGACAAATTAAATTATTATAAAAATAGGAGGGATTGAAGTTAATTATTGTAAATACCTGCACCATTCATGCAGATAAATATAATGTGTCTCTGCTTGTAAATGGTCTAACACTAATTCATTTCAATAGTTGTCGAGTACATAACAATTGGTTTCATCATTCAGGATCAAGTTTAAAATTCATTTCATCTCTGAAAAACTTTCTCTCTTGTTTTTTAACGCTGATTCTAATAAACGTTTTCATTGCAGTTCTCTCAAGTTTTCAGCACTTCAATTAATACTTTCAGTTCGTGGTTATCAGGCATTATTTTTGACTGATTAAAATATATTTTTTCACTAGCGGATGCTGAATCTATTAATATAATCAACACATTAATAGCCTCTGCTACAACAACTTCATGGAAGTTCCTATCTAGAGGCGATATACGAGTACAATCAGAAGATCCATACTTCAGAATCTCGGGATGACATACCCGAGATTTTGATTTTTAGTTATATTATTTAATATATATATTATATATATTTTTTAATTATAGAATTATCTATAATGAACTTTCCCGAAAAAGAAAATATAAATGTAAGAAATGACTAAAAATGAACCAAATATATAGTTGAATGAAATTTCTATTTAGACCTATCAAATCATAAATATTTATTCCGAGTAATCATTGGTGGATAGGTATGTTCCTTGTATTGTCAGATATTGTGGAATTTCATATTAATAATCGTCTAATTCACGTCGTTTATATCAATTGTAGTACAGCCTAATCCGTCTCTTTTTGGATTTGTGTCGCCCATTGAAAGTATACGTCAAAAGGACACTTTATGAACAGAATTATTGAAAATTCAAGCATAATCTTTTTTAACAATCGTTCAACCAGAGATATTTAAATTTCTTTGCAACTGGCATCCACAGCTTTGTTGAACAACTGGTACTAAATTAGAAATAAAACATATGACATGAACGTTCTAGACGTAAAGACTGAAGGCTCCTCAAACCAATAACGAAGAGTTTTTATTAACTTCCCGGTATTAAACATATGCATTGAAAACTATTTGCAGTTCAGTGATGAGGTTTAATATACTATAATATTAACCAACGTATTCACGTTCTCAAAAACAATATATAACGACAAAATATTGGAATGCGAAATCCTAGTTTACGAATCTTCACGACCTCTAACTTTCAATCAGCTGAAGGATATTTTCTTTCATGTTCCGAGAACAGATCGGTTAATGTGTTTTGTTCTCATCATCCTTCCACACTCGGTGCGTTCGTTGTTTATTCAACACTACGAAACGTGAATCTTTAGACATGCCATCTGGCGGGTCGAAACAACTACTCTTTTCTTCAAGTAGTCATTTTGACATTAGATAGAAGTTCTTGGCATTGCAGTTTTTGTCATTTAAAAATATCCATATATATATGTGTATATATAAACTTTATTATTTCCAGTTCAAATCTTAACCTGTCCGAAAATAATGAAATTCAAGATACTTTGTCTGGGTTTTTCCGCTGGGGCTTGATGATCTTTACTCACTATAATTTGAGAAGAAACCATCCATTCCTGGAGTTTCCTTTTTCGAGTCCGATTTCAAGAAGTCCAGCATGGGTACCACGAGGTCCTGTTCAACAGCTTCCTGTTGTAATTGTACCGTATCAGTACTTTCAACCGTAGCAGTGTCCCAAACTCCGTAGATGTATCCCAGGTCCGATGTATAGTTCTATTGAAGTGTTCAGAACGCAGGTTCCATTGTAAGGCAGATTTGATTCCACCAATATCAGCAAAAGCGTTTGAATCTAGTCTTTACTTCAGCTGGAAGTAAATCCACCAGGCACCCTTTTGGCACATCCACCATACACGTTCACCATCACCAATATACCGTCTAAGGCAGAGCTGATTCTGAAGCTCTTTGAAAGGTATAAAATTCTATTATTTTTATTCATCATCCATGTAGAGGACAAAACATATTCGTTCATAATTATCTTAGGTAGTGTCCCAGATTTTGTATATAACTCATTGTATC